GTCGTCACTTACGAGGTTAAAGTTAAACTTTAATTGTTATATATCTATGTATGTTTTATGTTTTGAACTCTTAATTAAAATATATTCAAAAACGTATGTCATGCCAAAAAAAAAATCATTATTAAAATTCACTTATCATTGAAAAAAGTATTGATCATACAACCTTATCAATCTAATCCAAAAGATAGTCCGATTCCCTACTGGCCTTGGATGCATAACACTGCAAAATACACGTAGAGTAAAAGGCGAGATCTATCCTTTTAGGCTCACAGCTTCTTATTACTTTTTGACTTCCAACTTGAGTAGACTATGATGAAATACAAAAAAAATAATTAAATAATATATGGAAACATTCGAAATAATTGATTTCTCAAGCATAGTCGCATACATATCGTCTTCACAAGAATATTGCTATAGTTACAATTACCTTTTGTAACCTTGGTCTACAACTATTTAAAATCAAATTGATGTTTATTTGATCTATATGTGTTCCGCAAGTTCATTATAAAATGGTATTTAATATGCAATAGGGAAAATATGATTAAAGCTTTCTTTTTTTTTGCTAAAATGATTTTTTTTTTTTAGAGGAGTCAAATGATTTAAGTTGTTATGCACTACAAAAAACAATTATGTTATTAGCAACCTATTTACCGACAAATTAAACATGAGAATACACTAATCAATTATTCACAAAACAACAAACAACTTCCAAAAATAGTAACCTTTTATATCAAATGGAAACTGTAAAAAACTTCAGAGTTCAGAGAAACACAGCATACGGGAAATAGAGCATGTCGTAATTAAAATTTTATAATTTATAATGGTAACAATATTTGTATTATTTTATTTTACCTTCCATTCATGATCGTCTTTTTATTCAACCGTGTTGTCACAATATTGGGAGACAGCTAAGCAGTTTTTTTTATGACTACAAAAGGGACCACTATATAATAAAAATATTCATATTGTACATGTTAGGGTTTAGGTTCAGTGATGTTACATCATACCAAGTTTATTCGTTGTTAAGGTAGAGTAGACAACTCTATTCGTAATCTTGTATTAGTTGTATAATTATACATGTTGACTAAAAAAAGTATAATTAATATAATTAATTATAACAAATTATATTAGTATTCAAAATGTCGAATCAGATTACATCGAATTTGTTGGGTAAATGGATCTATTATATTCTTGTGGTTTTATTAATAGGTCAAGATGAGATTTAATTAAGTTTAGTAATCTAG